CTCCCCTTTTTTTATTGCCTGCTCTGAGCTTGGGGGGTCCCTTAGAGCCATAGATGCCACCTATATCGTGAGAGGGGCGGACCCCATCATTTCGAAGGTCACCTCCAGTTGTGCCGTTTGACGATTCTAAACACTTTTACTGCTGCTTCTACTGCAAGAGTGGAGGAACTGGAAGAAATGGAAGATGATAATCAGGACTCTTTCGATCCACGAAACGGGCAGGCATCTCCTTCCCTCTTGGGTGTTGGAGCCGTTAGCCCTGTGCCTGAGGCTGCCTGAGAAATACGCCCTGAGCAGAAGCGGTCGTGGGTAGAGCTAGTCCCCGAGCTTTGAGCGGTGTTCCCGCCGGCAGTTCACGGGCTTGGAACACGAGTGGGCCAGCCCATGTCACAGACGCCCTTCGTTCCTGGGTTGGCTATGTCCAGGTTAATGTTGGCCAAAAGTTAAAAACCAAGAAGGTGGAGACATGTCACTTTGCGCCAGTTGTCCTAAGAGAGGAGTCCACGCGTCAGTAGCTGGAAGAGCCCTCTGTGGGCCTGTAGGTCAGAGCAATCCTTCATGTCGCAGATGAGGAAGCGGATGCCTGGGGACGTGGACAGGGCTATCCAGGGGCTCGCGGGCGACGAAGACCAGAGACTAAGGCTCCCTCGTCGTGTCTGCGTGTCCGCCTGCACCCCCAGACTGCCGACACCCAGAGGCAGAGAGCCCTTGCATGCCCCCGACATGTATTTCTCCGCCTCTGGCAACACTGTCTAGTCTTTGCATTGACCTTTCGTTGAAGATTAACCTACAAATCCTACGGATACAGCTCAGTCACTAGTACCCAGATCAAGAAACAGAACGAAACCGATGCCTCACGCCTCCTCCCAGTCACTTCCCCCCGGTCACCACTATTCTGTTTTACTTTTTCTTCCAACTTCCTCAATACAATGTGGAGGCCTGACTTCTTCCTGTTGTTGTTGAATCACCAAATAGAGAACATACTTTGCTTTTGGTTGAAATTCGGAAGGGAATCTTTAGTATTTCAAGTGGAAAGGGTCAGATTTCCTGATGAAATTGCTCTAGGACCCACGCGTTCCCAAACTGGAGTTTCCTTCTGATTCCTTAAACCTTTCGAAACCGCGTTTCTCAGATGTTCCTGAATTGATCGCCTGCCGTCTCGAACCCACGTTTTCCAAGAAACGCTGGGCATTTTTGAACTGGCTTCTTTTCACCTGAAACCCTGTACCCAGGAAAGTCCCTTTGCTCCCTGTAGGTATTCTGTAGGCAGAGGTGGCTATCGAACTAAAATGGGCCTGGGATCGCAGGGGAGTAGCGGTCAATGGGCAGCCTCTGGGGAGGCTGCAGGGTGGGAGAGAGCTCGGTGTGTTGGAACACATGGGTGACGTGTCCTTTCCTATGATCCCCCAGGCCCTCCTCACGGCTCCCAGACCTGCACGGGCCTCCTCGCCAGCTCTGCCTGCCCAGCTATATGACGTGCCTACCCAGAGCCGGGGTCCCCCAGCCCTGCAGGTGAGCCTTGCCCTCGGCCCTGCTCCCCACGGGCCTCTCTGCCCAGAGCGTGGGGTCCTCAGCGTCACGCAGACGTTACATTTCAGCTTCACCCGCGGGGGGCTCTGGGCATCCGTCCGCTCCGGGTACCAAAGGGCGCGTCACCTCTCAGAAGCCAGCTCTGTGCCCAAGGAGTCCAGACTCGCTCAAGAGAATCTTATGACTATTTGAATGCTGGAGATTTTTTAAATTTTTACTTTTCTTTCGTAATAGATATTTCACATCTATGTACACACACATACGTATGCATTTTTTTTAAAATAGTATTTTGAAAGATATACATCTCAGTCTTAACATGATCGTGGGTTATCTTAACATTGATTATCCCTAGAGGATGAAATCTTTGGTCTTTTTAAAACTTATCTGTAAGTAGGGGGAACATCAAATTCGTAAGGCGTGCTTCATGTAACGGGGAAATCGTTCATTTCTTAGCCCAGCCACACAGCCCAGTGGCTGCTTTTACTCGGCGCCATCAGAGCTTAGAGATCGTCAGGAGTCCTAACCGCGGGGCTGCCCGGCCCTACCGCACCCCAGACTCTGTGTGATGTCTGGGTGGGCCCAGCAAAAGGGATTTTAAAGCTCCAGGTGATTCGATGGTGCAGCCAGGGCTGAGACTGACATTCTAGTCTAAAGTAACCTTCAGCCTGGCTGTGACCTTCTGGTCACTCACTGCGGGCCCCAAAGCTCTAAATGAAGATGCCATCGCGTGACTGCCTCGCTCACCTTCCCCTCATTCTGCTGATCCTGTTTTTATTTAAAATGTGGATTTCATTCGTCATCATTTTTTTTCACATTAATTGTGATTTTTAAAAAGAGCGCGTTAAAATATTATTTACCGCGATCACCGAGTTTTCTGGTGCCCCCTGAAGATATCGTGCCCAGGCCTAGTGCTACACTCTCCTCACCCTGGTCCCAGCCCTGAGAACAGGCCACCCCCAGCCAGCTTCGTTGGCACATTCTCACCCTCGGCTTTTCTCAAGCCAGACTTAGTCCCCGTGCACTGGGCCCCCAAGCTCTGGTGGCACAACTTAAGTCATTGAGGGTCCCATTGGAGCACTTCCCACTTTGCTTAAGGGTTAGTGAAAAGCACCCCCACCCTTCCCCACCTGATGAGGTAGAGATGGGGGGCGGGGTCAGTGGGAAACTCACAGCCCAACTTTCTCCAAAAACACCCCTCTCCAAATTCCATCTTTTTCTCTCCTTTGCAAAACCTTTTTTGCTTCTCTGACGCCTCACCTCGGAGCATGGAACCTATCTTTCACGTCCCAATACATGTACTTTCTAATTGCTGCATGAGAAAATGCATGTTGCCTATTCAGGCACCTGTCTTGCTCATCACTGGGTGTGTACACGTCGTTTGGCTGAGTGTCTAGTAGCTAATAGGCACTCAGTAAATATTTGCAGGCTGAATACATGAGTGATAAGCTCAGGAAAATTTCTACTGAGAAAGGCAAACGAGCAGGACCGTGAAGCCCAATCTCATTTATTCTTCTTTAATTCCCTCTCAAGGCTCTGAGCTGCCATCTTTAACTCAGGCAGCCGTGGCTCATTCTGTGTACAGTTTGCCCACTTTCCGTTGAGAGGGCATCTTTTTAATGCACAAAGTCCACTATTGAAATGACCCCCACGGCGGCCCATAAGCTCCCGCCGAAGAGCATCATGACCAGAAGCCCCGAAATCTTCAGTGATTTGCTTTTCCGTTTGGAAAACAAAAAACCAAAAAACGCTGGCAAGGGCGAGTTTGTGATGGGCGGCCATCAGGAAGGAAACAGGCACATCGTCTTCCTTTGTGGTCTTTCTCCAGGAGCCAAAGAAGCAGCAGTTATACGACATACCCACCAGCGCCCAAAAGGCAGGATGCAGTCCCCCCGCCGGCCAACAAAGTGTAAGTATGATGCGGTCCCGAGATTCGATGCTGTGAAAACCTCAGCATCCTCCAGGACATTGAATAGCTTGGTCAGAGTGAGGGCGGCAGCTTCCTCGCGGCAGACCTCTTCTCTTCCGACCCCCGAAGCGCAGTGGCGTTCAGGAACAGGGCCGGCTGTGTGGTTGGAGCACATCCTCTCACTTCTGATTCTATTACAGACTTAGCACACGTATTCAGATAACTCCGGCAAAGGGCCCAGTGCGGTGCGTGGCACAGGGCGAGGCCTCGGACAAACGCTTCTGCTTGTTTTAGAGCTCAGAGACATGCTGTGTTACACTGGGTTTTTATTTGTATATGGGAGGGATGCCTTAATTTGAAATCCGTATAATCCGTGTTTAGCTTTGGATTCTGTCACATGTATATGCTGAACATGCGTACGCCCAAGCTTATCGGGGAAGGCTTTGCAAAAGGGGTGCCATCTCACGAGGGCTGCACAGGGGTTTGTTAGATGCGAAGGAAAGGGTCGGGGGCGGGGGGAGCATTCAGAGCAGGAGGACCTGTTTGGGCGAAATCAGATGTCGCGGGATAGAGTGACCATTCTAAGTTTCGGGAAAGGTAAACAGCCTGGGCGGCTGGACCTACGGGGAGGGTGGCGGCAGGCACGATGGAGGCACGATGGAGGTGGAGAGAAAGAAGGCTGAGAGGGAGGGCGGGAGCAGACGGGAAGGCAGCGGCGATGCAAAGCCGCCGAGGAAGCTGGAGCAGGAAGGTGGCCGTCAGATTTTTCCGACGCGCAGTGCCCAGCACTTAGAAGGTCCTCGGCATCCTACACCTGTGCCACATGAGTCGCTCACACCACTTCTTGTTGCTGCTAAACTGGGTGACTTTGTGTGGCTCTTCACAGAGGCAGAGTGTTCCCGTGACATCAACAGCGGCCTTGAGGAAGGCCTGCTACAACACCTTACCAAACCCTCAGAAATCGGAATGGCTTTACGACACTCCAGTGCCTCCAGAAAAAGCCGATGGAAGAAACGCATCTCTAACCAGCTTTGTGGGAAAATCGGGACCCCATACTCTCCCCACGTGTATGTCCAGTTTCCACAGTCCTCCAAACACCAGAGCAAGGTCCCTCACTCCAGACCTGCATAAAAACGTGTCCATGCAGAAAAAACTCAGCGTTCCAGAAATTCCTCCTCATAGCTTTCTGGGACCCAGAGACACCTTCCCTTCGGACGAAAGTGTCGACTACGAGGTTCCTTCAAGTTTTCTGGTTCTCCGAGTGGAGCAGCAGAACACCAAGCCAAATATTTATGACATCCCGAAAGCTGCACCGACCGTCCCTCAGGCTGTGAAGGAGCTGGAGAAGGCTGACGGGTCTCCGGAGAACCCCGTGGACCATAACAGCTCGTGGTTCCCCAGACAGGCCACGTGGCTCTCTCCGGAGCCAGACAGGTCGTCCGTCAACAGTTCTGACAGCAGGGCCAGCGGCGTGTCTTCATGCTCCTCCGCATCCACGGACTCTTCATCCAGCTGCTTCTCGGAGGAGTCAGCAAAGGAGCCCTCCTTGGACCTGGACTCGGCCAAAGGGACGGTAATGGCTCTCCAGCAAAAGGTGGCCAGCGCCGTCGCGGGCCTGATGCTCTTTGTAAGTAGGAAGTGGAGGTTCAGAGACAACCTGGAGGCCAACATCGACGCAATCCACAGGGCCACCGACCACATAGAAGAATCTTTGAGAGAATTCCTAGATTTTGCCCGTGGAGTCTGTGGCACCGCCTGTAACCTCACCAACAGTAACCTTCAGGCCAGAATCAGGGAGCAGCTACAGACAGTCTCCAACTCCTACCAGGTCCTGCTCGAAACCAAGGACAGCCTGGATAGCTGCAGCTGGTCCCTGGAAGTCCTGGTGATGGACGAAGTCCAAAGCAGCCCGGATGACCTTGAGAGATTTGTCATGGTGGCGCGGATGGTTCCAGAAGACATCAAGAGGTTTGCCTCCATGCTCATTGCCAATGCGAGGCTCCTCTTCAAGCAGAATTGTGAAAAGGAAGAGACTGCGCATTTGACCCCAAATGCAGGATTCAAGCTTGCAAAATGCATCCAGCTTCCCCAAAGGGAAGTGGAATTCCCCCAAAGGAGTGCCCCTTCTATTAAACAGAGGCAAAGCGAACTCTCCCCTGAACTCTTAAAGAAAAATTGGACAAACGCCTGTGAACAGGTGAGTTCAGAGTCCTGAGAAGTACAATATAAAGGGGCTTCAGCGTTTAGCTGGTGTGGTCGCCCATAAGTTAGATGCTGAAAATCTCTCAATAGTCACATAGGCTTTGGGAGACACTGGTTCCATTTTTCCAAAAATAAAATTCATGAAAGTAAAATTCTAGATGCAATATTATTTATTAAGAAGCACGGTAAATAGTATTAAGGCACGTAAGCCGTCTTCTGGAAATTTGGGGCTTTTCAGTTTACCTCTGATAACTAAGATTACAAAGAATTTTAAAAGCCTTTTAAAATCCATCCTCTGAGCAAATATCTTAATCTCACCATCAAGTTTTCTCGCATTTTTTGAAAGTTATAAATTGAGTCATCGTCAGCGTGTTTCTTAGAAACAGAAGAGGAAGTATAAACACGCTTCCAAACACGCTTCCACATCATGCACGGTCTTAGCAGCCTCCACACTGCAGTTACTCTTAAAAACACTTTGCTGCATGACTTCAGATGCTCTAGAAAGAGACCCTTTAGTTCAAGCAAGTCTTAAGCACAGTTCAAGCACAGCAGGCCACCTGGGGGCTGTGTCAGGCGATCATTTGGCACTTTCAACCCCAGTCTTAGTATTCTGCTGAAATGCCCAGTGTGCTGTAAGGGCTATAACACATTCTAGAGAAGCTAGAAATGTAAATGTTTTTAATTTCCCAATTAAACTACACACGTGTGTGTGTGTGTATATAGTTATAAACATAGACATGACTTTTTAAAAAAACTGTGTGTCATCGTACTAAGCCATGTTGGTAGACGAAATTCAACCCTCGGACAGTCCAAGTGTTCTTTGTTGGGAAAAGACATCAGTAGGCAGAACAAAAATATGAAGAGGAAATGCTCACGCGTTAAAGTGGCCTCAAACAGCTGTATGATAGCGTGAAAGCACTCCAGTGGGTAATTCAAAAGGATTGTATTTTTCAGAAGTTGCCTAACCTAGAAGAGAAAGAAAAACCCTTCTTGAAACAAAGGTTGGATGAAAACGAAGCCTTAGAAGCACAGGTGAGCAATACCGCCCACGCTCCCCACGCTTTATCCCTGGAGATGTTTCCCGCTATGAGTAATTCCACAATAGAGCCATGGCCCACGCGGGAGGAGAATTGGGCTTTGCGATAGTGTTTCCTTTTGGTTGCAAAAGAACCCTAGAGATGAACGACCCAGTGAGCCCCGGGGCCCGGCACGTGACCCTTTACCCGTTCGTGAAGCCATGCGGGGTGCTCTGCAAAGCAGTCGTGACATGGCTGTAAAGAGCTCGGGCTCACGTTCCCTTTGACATGGTCCCCGAATGCTTCTGGTTATGACGCAAAGACTCTGGTGTCCTGAGCACCTCCTGCGGCCCCCCGTCCCGTCTCCCCCAGGGAGGTTTGTGTCTGGGCTCACACCGACACCCCCTCACTGTCTCGCATAGTAATTAATACACGGCCGTGTTCTCAGTGGCCACGGGGTTCGGCTGCAGGGAGAACTGGCTCTGGGACATGTCTCTGGAGACAGAGATGGGGCTCTTGAGGGAAGGGTGATGTGCTGTGCCGCCACCATAAGTGATGCACCCCGTCCACTCCAGCCCCTTCCCGGGGAGCTGGTGGGTCCAGCTCCAGCGGTATTTAGTGGTGATAGAGTAACCAGAGACAGTGCAAACTGAGACGAGCACAGCCTGCTGATGGAACCTATCTCTTATCTGTTGTTTTTTTCTCCTTCTCCAGGACCCCAGGTCTCCTCCCCGCCGGCCTTTGAGTCAGCAGGACCCCGAGAAGAAAATCCACCTCTCGGAACACTGCCGGCTCTATTTCGGGGCGCTCTTCAAAGCCATCGGTGTCTTTCACAGCAGCCTCCGCCACGGCCAGCCCCCCGAGGTCTTCATCACGCACAGCAAGCTGATCATCATGGTGGGACAGAAGCTGGTGGACACGCTGTGCAAGGAGACGCAGGACAGGGACCTGCGCAACGAGATCCTCTGCAGCAGCAACCACCTCTGCAGCCTGCTCAAGAACCTAGCCCTGGCCACCAAGCACGCCGTGCTCAAGTACCCGAGCCCCACAGCCCTGGGGCACCTCCAGGCCGAGGCGGAGAAGCTGGAGCAGCACACGCGGCAGTTCAGAGGGACGCTGGAGTGAGCTTCCCTCCCGTGCAACTCTGTCCCACGGGACAAGGCAGCCTGGGGGTACGCTATGGGCGGAAGTAATCATGGTGCCCAAAGCAGGTGTTCTCAGTGTCTGGGCAACCCCAGCGCATTGGCTTACCCCACGAGAGCCAGGGAAGAGAGGCAGCCATTAAGTAAGGACCGTGTATAAAGTGACGTGTGGAAACCGGTTTGTAGATTGTTTAAATGTGTGCCTGTTTTAAATTCATTCGTTCGGTATTTATTTATTGGGCACCTACTATATGTCAGATTCTAGGTGTTGGACAAATAGCAGTAAATTAAACAGAAGCCTTGCCTTAAGGGAGTTTACATTCTAGTGGGGAGACACAATAAAGTGGTGGAGAAATACACATAAAATATATCAGGTGCTAAGGAGAAAATAAAGTAAGAGAGAAGAATGAGACTTATTTTCGAATGATTAATTTCTTTTGCATCGTTAGGTAATATAATCAGCATTACATTTTTGGATTGAATTAATTCTGTAAGATTGGTATGAATCATGTATCTGTGTCTTACACCAAATATATATATATGTGTATATATATGTACATATATATATATATGCTATTTTGTCCAAGTTCAAGATGCATATTTGAACTTGGATAAGATAAAATAGCATATATTTGCAACCTAACATTTTGTTAGGTTTCCTTTTAACTTATTTTGTACATTATAGAGTCTGTGTTGATAAATTCAATATGCTCAATCAGCAAAGTTTTGTACCTCGACGGTCTCAAATCTGTTGTCATTTATAATATTATGTAAATATAAACATGAGTTGAAACATCCTTCGCAGCAGTCCTTCCTCTGGAAAGTCTTTGATCTGTGTTACCTGGGTTCCAATGTTGCTTCTGCTATTCAAATGCTTCTCCCCAGAGTGTTTGGGGAGGTGCAGCAGAGGCCACAGTCTCGTGCGGAAGGCTAACGGGAAAATCAAAGCCATCGCCCATCGCGGTACAGCCAGGAAGTGTCGCGTGAACAGGTCGCCCTTCCCCGGGCACAGATCTAAAAGTGGCTCGGAGCGCCCCTCCTCTTCCTCAGACCACCCCCTCTTCTCCTAGCAGCTGGGCCTTTTGCTCATGTTGCTATGGTTACATCATCCCTACTTCACCTCAAGTGAAGGTGCACGTTCCTGTATGTATCCCAGCCGTGGAACACCGTGCCTGGAAAGAGCATCTGCAACCTGGAAGTCACCTGAAATGGTACCAGGTCCAGTTCCCATCCGCTGCTCTGCACTTAGTAGGCGCTTTAAAATTGTTGGCGGCTGGAAGGCTGGTTGCTTTCACCAATAGTTCCCAGGTTCCTAGAGAAGGAGTCCACTCGGCGAGGCTTGGTTCCCTGGACCGCAACGGAGAGCCCCAACTTCTCTGAACAGCTGTGACGTGCATCGGCTAGGATCCCTTCTGTTACGCATGATCGAAAAAACACATCTAGTCTGTCTTAAGCAATAAAGGAAATTTAACAATTCAAGTATTTTAAAATAATCCAGGGGCGGACTGACCCAGACCAGCCGGTTCGGGGTGATCCAACAGCATCTGCGGGCCGCGTTTCTCCATCCCACTTTTTCCAGGTCAACTCTCACGGTTGCAAGGTGGCTGCCCCACATCGTATCTGGTGCCAGACCCTCGAAGCTCTGGCGAGCAGGGCATGTGATAACCAGGGGGACCTAGACCTGGAATTCCCCCCCCCTCCTCCCCCTGCCACGTGTCTTGAGAAAGGGGCGGCTCTGCCAAGACTGTGAAACATTTGAGATGTTCCCCCTATTTCAGATTAAGCTCAGCCTGCCACAGTTTCATAGAGGCTGACAGAAGACATGAGATTCTGGGGTCAGAGACTGTGTCGGGGGTCCCCAAGACCACCCTGTGGCCCAATGATTCGGTAGGAGGATGGCCAGGACTCAGCATAGAGTCCTGCTCATGGCCATGATCTATCACAGCAAAGGAAAAGGGTGGGCGGGGGGAGTGTGCAGCGGAAACCAGGCTCAAGCTGCCAAGAGTCCCCACCTGGGAGCCACACAGGACACCCTTCCTCTCCTCTAGTAATGAGCTATGATGACGCATGGGCGACGTCGCCAGCCAGGGAAGCTCATGAGAGCCCAGCGCCCAGGGTTTTATTGGGGCTGATCGTGTGGGCAGCCTCTGCGTGGCACAGGCACCCAGTTCCAGACCCGCAGAAGGAAACCGGGTGTTCAGCATGAGTCGCGTGGTTCATACAACCAGTGGAGACCACTGAGCCATTCTTGTCAACTCTGGGGGTGCTGGGAACCCTCCCAGGTCCAAGTTGCCGTACAACCAAAGGCCAGACTCGCAAGGGCAGCCTAATATCCTAGTCTTCTAAGGACATAAGTCAAGGCTGTTCTGTCGACTCTTGTGCACAGGAAAGAACTTTTCTTACACCATCGGGAGAGCTCTCACTTCATATTTACACCCCTCCCCGAGTTCCCACGGGCAATGCGAAGGTGGCCACGCATTGCTGTGCACACAATGGGTTATGTCAAGGCCAAGGAACTCTTGAAAACCCCGATCTGCACAAGCCTGATGAAGCTTTAGGTCCGAGGGCGATGGTATCTTTTTATTATGTTGAGCAGCGAACAAGCCTGCCCTTCTGCTCTGGAGGGAGACGCGACCTCTGTCTGTCCTCTGAGCGTGCTTGGAGTGATGGATAGCCCAAAACAAGATGCCACTAATGCCTCTGCTCAGAAGACATGAAGCAAGGCAAGAGACCCCTGGAGAACTGCGTCCCGCCCAGCAGGAGCTCCCAGCAAAGTCAGGAGGGAAGTCGGGGACGAAAGGGGGTTCCTGCAGGGACACACCCATATCTGTCTGCCCCAGTGGGCAAAATGACCTTTCACACAACAATAACAACAGCACGTGTGTGTTAAGTGATTAGCACAGTTCCAGACACTGTTCTAATGCTTGAAGTGTCTCAACTCATTTAGTGCTTCCTAAGTGATATAGTCTCCAATAGGTAATGAACAGGTCTCTATTGGTATCAGAACACTATGTGTGTATGTACATGTGTGCATAGATAGATATAATTACATCTGGAGATAGATATCTATATAGCTATGTTTATCCATCTACTTTGGGGGAATGAGTTCAAAGCAAGGACCCTTGTTGACGGAGTACCAAACCACTGGGTTTAAAACAATGAAAACTGCTCTTGGCTAAATGTGTTGGCTTCTTCGTTTTTTCTTTTGAAAGAGCAGTTATGGGATGAGTTTCCACTGATAAATTCAATAGGATACTGACTTCTGAAAAAAAAATGTTAAAGAATAAAATCACATTTTTTTAAGCTTTTGGTATCTTTTTGTTCAGTATTTTTCTTCGGTGCCCAGAATTCTATACCATTTCCTCTCAAGCTAGGAAGAGGAAATGGTGGGCGGCGTGGAGGTGGTTGGTGGTAGCAACTCGACCTCAATTAAGTTAAATTACATCTGCAGGATGGAAGGTGTGGGGAGCCCCGTGTAGAGATCTTCCAGTGTGACAAGCACTGGGGATCCACGTTTCTGGTTTGGTGGCAACTTTTTTTTTTTTTTAATAAAACCTCTTTTAAAAAATGTACGTTCTCTGCAGGTCTCCAAAAGCTTCCCGTTTGCAAAGGTTGCCCGTGCGTGTCAACCATTTGCTAATGCCCTTCCCACCTAGGGAAGAGTGTTCCCATAGAGGGAGCAGCAAGACAAGGGTCCAGAAGTGGAAGGACACCTAGAGAGGTCAAGGAGAGGGACCGCTGGCGTGACTGGAGTGAGTGAGAGAGAGAAAAGCAGCCTGCGTGAGCTGGAGGATAGCCAGGGGCCAGTTCATGGAAGTCCTGAACATTTCTGGCATGTCTTTAATATTTTCCTAAGACTGCTAATTAAAAGTAAATTTCGTCTTATCTCAGTAATTGCCTTGATTTTCATCTTTATTTTAACCCTCTTTGTAACATCTTCCTAAGAGTAAACTTAAGTGATGGTTGTGAAATTCTTAAAGAATTCTAACCCATAGTTGTTTTGGGGTTGGCTTGTTTATTTGTTTGTTTTTAATGCTAACTCTTAAAATGAGTTACTCCAAATGTCGGCTTTTTTTCAGACAGAATTTTAAACTGTAGCTATGGAAGAACACACGGGCAGAGCTAACAGGAAATCGAATCCTCAAAGGTTTAGAAGGCTGAAATAGTTGGGAAACTATAGTGACAGGCAGTAGAAACATTGAAAGTACTGATTCTTAGCCTGGGCCTGTAGCAAAACTTCCTGTATACTAACAGATATTCTTCTGGGAATAAGTCCAAAGTTTTCATCAAGTTCTCCAATAGGTCTAATGACCCCAAAAGGTTAAGAAATACTGGTTTTGCTAGAGGGTAACGGTTTTTTCTTTCATGATTTCCTTCCTCTCCCGCCTTTCAAATCCACAGGTTGACAGAGGGGGCAGGGCAGGGAGTCGTTAGCAAGGATCCCTATAAAAGGAAGATTCATTACGAGTTCGTTCAACAAGGGCAGCGGAAAGAAGTAGCAGGTAATGACAACTGCTTCCCAGTGTGGCCAGGAGAACAAAAAGTCTCAAATCAAGTAAAGCACCAAACACAGTGACTGACAAGCAGCCAGGCCTCAACACAAATTAGTTGCTATTGACGATAATAATAAACCATACAAATGTGTTATTGGCTGTGTAAAGTCTGCATGTGGCACAACGTAGCCTAGAGACCAAGACTCTAAAAGAGGAAACCAGAGAGGAAGAGAGGAAAAAGTCCAGCTGCCTGAGCTTTAACGGCCACACAGGTGGCACTGCCGGGTGTCATCCGCAGCACCTGGGGAAAAGGTTAAGGAACACGGCGTTTGTAGGTAGATGGGCCTCATTAGGGAAAGTTCCTCATCTTCTACTCCTTCTAATAGCACAGAAGCCCTCCAAGGCCTTCAAACTTCTTAGATTCACTGGCAAACGTACTCCTTGATCATAGACTAGCTATAGATTATCTGGTGACCGAGTGGGGTTGGAGTGGGGGTGGTTCTGCGCTGTCATTAACAAAACCTGCTGCACTTATATCAACAACACAGGGAGGGTCGAGACAAATATACAGAATGTCGACAGCGAGCATCTTGGCTGCATGGCCATCGCCAAGGGACAGAGCCTAACAGAACGAGGGTGACAATGGTGAGGGCCATCCCCAGCCTCTCCCGGTTCCCACCCATCCTGGAACCTTTAATAACTATTCCACCACTGCTTCTCTTTGGACCTCGTCTATTTAACCTCGTTGTCAAGTTCATTTCCTCCAGGCCTCAACAGTTTCATGAAAAGCGAATGTTCATGCCATGCTCCCAACCACTGAAACGCCCGGCTCAGGGCTGTAGCCCCACCCTGCCTCCAGATCCGGCTGCCAGAGAGTTACACTCCTCCCCGGTTTAGAGTCCCGACGACGTGCCTCTGTCACGTGCCTCTGTCACCAAGTAGTTTCAGAAGAAGCCTTCTGCCCAATCCCCTTAAGATTAAGTAGGATAAAAATCTCTCGGGGGGGTAATGTGGTGGGTAGTCACGTAGCCAGAACCTGCAGCTGAGGAAAACAACCTTGAGTCACACAGTCCCTGGAAGAAACAAAGAGCAGATAGAACCATAATCATAGGAGAGATAAGTGGACCCAGAGAAAGTTCCTAAAGTCACGCGTGCATGTAAGTTAAAAGAGTTGTCCTATAGTTAACTCATTATCATAGCAAAAAACACACCATTTAAGATGCTAATGAGACGTGCCACGGATGAAGAAGCACAGGTACTGCTGGGAAAGACCTGCCTCAACACACTTTGGGGAGGGAAAAAGGAAAGAGGAAGGGGCGGCCCCTAACCCCCAGAGCCTATTAATCCACAGAACCTGTAGATCTCGGGGAGCCCCACAATTCTCCTCCAGACTGCACTCCCTTGGTGCATCCAGTTTCTGCTCTAGTAGACCTTTCTCTCCGCAAAACTGTTTTGCTGACTATCCTGAGATGGGCCAGGACTCCTGCACCAGTAACATTTCTTCTCACCCGCTGTGTGCCCCTGACTCAAGACACCTTGTGCATCTGAATCTCAGGTTCGTCATTTGAAAAAAAAGGAGGCATGACACCCCTTCAGGCTGTGAAGAGAGAAAGGAAACTGTGCCTTCAAATCTCTCAGTGCACGGTCATAGTTTAGTAAAGAGCGGCTATTTTTATTTTTTCTTCCCAAATGAGCTCGGCGAGGGGCAGATTTAGTTGCCAAAAAGCACTGATTTGAGGGTCTGTCTAAAAATCCTTGGGTTTATGCTGTTCTGTATCTGATTTTCTGTCCCCTCGGAGAGAAACCCAACCTTGGCACCCACTCCCAGCTCTCTCACTGACTAGCTGGCTGTGTGGCCTCGAACGAGTCATCTTATCTTCCCAGGCTTCTATTTTCTTACCAGAAAATAGATTCTAACAGTACTTATCAGTTTCAGGGACTGCCAAACCGCGCTTGTGGCCTTCTGTGAATGAGTCTGCACTTTGTTTTGGTTTATTGAGGAAATGACTACGGAGTGTCCCAAAGACTGAGGAGAAAACAACATCATGGACTTTACCATTCTTGTGACTGGCATAAAAATGAATCATAAGCCAACGAGAGACCAACTGATTAAAGGGTTTATTTTCTTTTAATTCTCAACAGTTGTGATGGCGGATAATCCAATCAGATAGCTCTCAAAGTTTCCATATCAATGTATTTTCTATTCCCAAGTGAGGGATATTTTCAGCTTTGTTATATTTTACTTTGGTCATCACTATAACATCCAATCATAAAAACCCGCCTGCCTCGCAGTGAGTAGGCTTTCTAATAATATTCATAGTAAGTAATGGAACAGAGAGAGAGACGGTCCAGGGCACGAGAGCAGACAATCATGGATGTTAGCAGGGGTTTTAGAAGGGACTTGAGTTCTCATTACAGATACAATACAGCCTGTCTCTTGGAAAGGCCATTTAAATGTCAGTGTCTCTTTTATAATTTTATCTGTTAACTATATCTGCTTTTTGATAAATTTCTTTCAGACTTCGGGGGCTGTGAATGAAGCACATACGTGTCCAAACTTTCATGTATATACAATATACGACAGCATCAGAAAGTTTCAGGCCTTAGATAATCTTACTCTCCCCCTAATCTATAAATCCTACGATTTGCTGTGAGTGCTTAGGTCACAGTGGGCGCTCAATAAAGATGCGTTCCCCGTTTTAAACACATAAACGTTAACTGAATAATAGATGCCATTCGTTCGCTTAGCAACCGGGTCTTAGCAACGGCCCCACCCCGCTGCGTCGCGACGGGCGTTCTGCGTCACAGCGGCGCGCCGGAAGTGACTGCAGCGGTCGCCGAAGACGCCGGAAGTTGACGGTGCGGCGAATCGCTGCTGGCTCCCGCTCCCGGTTTGCGATGGGTTGCGACGGGGGAACAATCCCCAAGAGGCACGAGCTGGTGAAGGGACCCAAGAAGGTTGAGAAGGTCAGCAGGGAGGGCCTGGGGGGTACTGGGGGTGCTGAGGCCAACAGGGAGCGAGGGGAGGTGGGGGTGGGGTGGGGTCCGTGGGTTTCCAGATGCTGCTGCGCTCTTTTTTTCCCATTAGGAGAACTCAGAATTAAGAACAATGTTAATAATGTAACCTTTATTGAATACTGGATACTGCCTTTCACTCGGTAGTACCCTGAATTTTGAGTATCTCATGCAGTTCTCACATTGGTACGTGCCGTCGTTATGCTCACTTTTCAGAAATGCAGATTGAGGGTGAAGAGAACGTTGCAACGCTAGTAAGTGGCAGAGCCAGGATTTGAAGCCTGTCTGCCGTTAGTGACCGTGATACAGATGACTGCTGTTTATCGACTTTGCAATACACTAACATCAATCTTCAGGGACGTCTTCCCAAATCATTCCCCTGATTAGCCCCATGAGATCGGGTCCTCTTAAAAACTGCCTTACCACCTTATACATTTTGTTCATGGTTGATTAATGTCCGTCTCAGGGAACATTAAGCTCCTAGTGGCAGTCTGTGCCTTTCCCTCCCTTCTACAACGTACACAGTTCCTAGCACAATAAATACAGTATAGTGAATGAATGAGTAATTCCTAATTCTCAACAGGTAATCGGCAACATTATATATAATAATTTCCATGCTCCCGCTAGGGAAATTGAGTCAGTAATGTAACCAAGATCTCACAACCTGTAGGTAATGAAACCAAGAATCCCAAACATTTATTCAGAATTTCAAAGTTAGCACTAGTAATTACTTTTTAATAATAGAAAGCATGTAAAGTACTTTATACAATGTTTCACTGATGACAGGTCTCAGCATTCACTACAGAGTGAATTCTGATAAAAGCTATTTAAGCTGCCAAAGTGTGGCTTTGGGTCTGGGGAATGGATAGAATAACAGTTGCAATAGTGCAGGTTTTGTTTTTGTTTTGTTTTGCTTGAAATAATAGAGAGGTAATAAAAAGTAGTGATTAAACACACGGTCCCTGAGCCAGCCTGCTCTTATCCCAGCTCCTACTTGGTGTGTGACTTTGGGCATGTAACCTAGCCTCTCGATGCCTCAGTTTCCTCCACAACAAAGGTAAAAATACTGAGTAATAGGGTTTCTATGAGGGCTAAAAGATAAGTCACAGAAACTGCTTAGCATAGTGCCTGGCCCACAATAAACACGTAAGCAGTTGCTGCTGCAAAAATTAAATTTAAGGGAATTTTTTTCTTTTTCTTTTTTTTCTTTTTCTATTTCTGTTTTTTTCCAAATGTGCCATCCTGTTAAACTATTGGTTTGGCATTTTAGGAGGGGAAAAGAGTGGGCCATGGACTATTCTATAGATAAAAATATCATTTGAGGCTTGTGAATGATCTTACATCTGGATTTTCATGCTGTGGATAAGGTTTTGATATTTCCCCTAGTGAAGAGTTTGCAAAAAGTGCTTCTGTTAAATTGGTGATTTTATGAAGAATTATATAGCCTATGTGCTGAACTTTATAAAAGAAGATCTATCTTTTCAATTCTTAGTCCTTAAATTCTGCTAAAATCTCGGAGCCTTTCCCTTGTTAGAAATTAACCTGTACTGCTTTTTTACTGTATGGCTTCCCTAACTTATGGTTAAGATACAAATGTTAATATTCATATGTAGTTTCCATAAACAATTTAATAACTTGATGTAAACTGTTTCATCATGGGCGTCATGTTTATTTGACATAGTATCGATTACTTGGACTTTAAATCCCATCTTCTCTGTCACTCTCTTTGATTTAAAAACCAAAAATCATCACTGCGTGATACTACTAAATAAGCCATTATATGTAGAACTGTGAACTGTGTGTTTTTCAGAGGTGAAAATTAATTGAAAGGATTTTTTTTCTTTTCATAGGTTGACAAAGATGCTGAATTGGTGGCCCAGTGGAACTATTGTGCTCTAAGTCAAGAAATATTAAGGCGACCGATAGTTGCCTGTGAACTTGGCCGGTATGAATCCTTTACTTAATGAGACAAGTTTTTATTAAATGATTTTTAAAAGAATTTTAATATGTAAACACAGTTCTTGATTCATCAACTGTAAGTTATCTCAAGCAACTTCGAGAAGCCTAGGTTATCTTTCCCTGTCTGTGAAGATACTTCTATACTCTTTTATTCAGTGTGGTTTGTTTACTCTCCATGAGCTGAAAACTTGGGAATTAATAGGAGTGAAGTCATAAACAAATGCATGAAGGAGCCATGTGGGGTCAGTAGGGACGGTGGGGTCTGCGGGAAACTGGAGAGTTTATGTTCTGTGTGAAGAGGCGGCTGCCACTCAGGTCCAGCCAGTTTTTGCAGTTCAAGAATGTGGACCTAGTGGTTCCAGAACTTCTGGGGTTTTTTTGTCTTTCGTTTTTGTTTTGTTCCACCCCCCCGCCCCAGGAAAAGTTGAAAATGTATACCTTTAAAAATTTCTCAATGTTTAAAATCCTTTTTAAGGTCACAGTCAGCCCCTCAGACTGCCAGTTTGTAACCCTTGATTTAAACTAGTTTCTTTCTTTATATGCACTGGAAATAGTTGAGAAAAGACTAAATTTACTTTTTCAGTAAGGCTGGGTTTCTGTTATGAAATGTAAATGACTTTGGATTGTACTCAATTTAGTCTTCCTCCTTTGTGTGAAGGTTGGTTGTTACCCGAATGTTTGACTGTTCCTTTTGTTGCAGACTCTATAACAAAGACGCAGTCATTGAGTTCCTGTTGGACAAATCTGCCGAAAAGGCTCTTGGGAAGGCAGCATCTCACATTAAGAGCATTAAGGTAAGACGGCTGATTCTGAGGTGCTCCAAGTCTCAGTGGTTAAGGTTTATTTTATAGAATTCGTGTATACTATAGACTGAACTAGATATTTGGAATTCCAGTCCTTGGGCAGGTCACTAAACACTGAAGCCAGAAGGTCACACACCTTTACTTCCTGCGTTATAAATCTGTTACGATTTAATTGTGTGAAAGGGCTTTAAAAATGCTTAATGAGGTGTATGAATGTTGAGAGGCTTTGTTTTTGTAGTTAAAACTCAGCTTCTTGAATTTTTGATTTGGAAGACACTTGTAGAATTACAGTTTATTAGCTCAGTCACTTAAATCATTGCGGTTATCTCCTACTGACTAAAAGTTCTGATCGGCCTTTAAAGTTCTTTATTAAAAGTGAAAATACAAGTTTTTTAGTAAAAGTAGTTTGTTGAGAAGACAGAACCTTTCAAATCTGGTCAGTAGGAGAAAAATCCAAAAAGGTGAAGAATTTGAGAACCATCAAGCTTGTCAAACACTTCATCTCACACTCTGTCAATAACTCCTTGAGGCCACATGGCTAGTTAGGCTTAAAGTAGTCTAAGGCTTGCGGTTTTTCTTTTTCTTTTTTTCCTTCTCTTTCTTTTTAAATTTTTTATCATTAGTCTTTTGTTTGAATTCTTGGAGTGATTACAGGATACAGGATATGTCTCGTAATCAGACAGATTAGCAATTCTCAAATGTAGCTGACAGTAGTGCTATAGAAATAATCGTGTTGATTTTTGTCATCTTTTACCTTGGGAAGAGAATTCATTCCTTAAAAACCCTTGGTGGCATAATTATCTCAAAAATGTGATTATCGTTTCATTGCATTTTTTGATACAATTTTACACTTACAAAAAAATAGTATTCAGTATGTGGAGTTGAACTTTTGATGCCAAAAAAATAAACCTTCCAAGAAATTTGAACCGTAAAGATAAAAGGATTCAAATAAAGCAATGCACATGTACAAGGTTATCATTATAAGTCAGTAAGTTTTAAGAATCTTGTTTTCTATCCCAATTTATGATTTAATATTATATCTATGTTAATTGGCGACCAAAGGAAGGTAGCTAGGAAGAAGAGGTTTGGATGGGAAGGGACTAGAATGACAGTTTCTCTGTTGATTTATGTGGTTATTAAGGATAAGAATGATCCGTTTATCAAATGAATTCTTAAAGTAATGACGGTTTTTCACAGAATGTGACAGAACTGAGGCTTTCTGATAATCCTGCGTGGAAAGGAGATAAAGGAAACACAAAAGGTGACAAACACGACGACCTGCAGCGGGCACGTTTCATCTGCCCCGTCGTGGGCTTGGAGATGAATGGGCGACACAGGTCAGTCTGGTTACGTAACACTGGTACTGCTAGGGTCCGTGCCGTAGCTCGATAGCCACACAGACTTCTTTACGGTGTCCTTTGGTTTGCATAGTGCCTGAGACACTCATCACGAGACCACGTGCATCCCCTTTCAGCCATTCGTAATGTGGCGTCCAGGCCCACTCAGCTTTGTTGTCTGCGGCCTTACGAACTTGAGAGTAGGAGAACCTGAAGTAAAGAGGGATTTTTAAAAACAAAGGGCAGTTGTTTCCTGTCAAACAAATCCCATTCCCTTATAATTGGTAAAAATTCCGTGGTGGAAAACTGTTACACAGTGTGTGGTTGTCAGCCAGCTAAAGGCCCGCCTGATAATCATAATTCGCTTTGAATGTTTGGCTAACAGACCATCCAGCTAGAGCACCAGAAATCTAAAGTTGAGATTTATACAGCAAGCGTAAGCGACCTGTCTACTTCTCCCTTAAAAAATATGAACGTCGAATGGGTTGGTAGGTGTCTTTTTATAGGATGTCTCACTAAGCCAAGACTTTGAACTCTTTTTTTCCCACCATTTAGAAATATCTTTAATGGTTGTTAGGCCAGTCAGTCATCTGGAATCTTCCATCTAACATGGTGCATGTTGAAAGGTAGTCATTTTTACTATTTATTGGAAACTGGTGGGAAAGCATCTCAAGTAAGCAAAAACGTTTATTGAGGTATAAACAGCCATACTTAATCTGGAGCATTCTGGCGCGTGTGCATTCATTCTCAGACACGTGTGTGCTCTGTGTGGCTAAACACACCAGAGAAACTGACCACTGTGCTCTGAGACAGGGTAACATGGCTGTATGGGTTTGTAAAATTGAGGGCCAGGGACCTCTGCCTTTAAAGGTGTATGTTTTACCTCAGTTATTCTGGATTTAAATCATTGAGGCCTCCCTTTAAAATTTCACCGTTTAATGGTAATTATGTGAGGTGATGGACGTGTTTTTTAGCTTCACTATGATGACCATTTCACAATGTATACATGTATCATATCGAATTGTACATCTTAAATAATACAGTTTCCCCCTCACAAAAGTATAGTACCTATGCCATTATGCCTAGATAAAACAGAAAAAAGAGAAGTAATGAAGTAAGCTGAAGTTCACCATTCGGGTCAAGCAGAAGGTATTCTATGGAACCAGACTCGTGTACCCGTCTGCCCTCACCTCAGCCCTGGCAACTGCCGGTGTGCTTTCTGTCCCAGCGGGTCTACGTATCCTGGATATTTCACATAAATAGAAGCACACAGTATGTGACCTTTTGGGCCTGGCTTCCCACTTCTTTTTAAGAAAACCATGATTCACCTCAAAAGAGGAACTTAGAAACAAACGCACCTCTGGGGTCCCGAGCAGGAGTTACCTGTAGCCTCTTGCTCTCACTGCGGCTTCCCTTAGTTTTCTTCCTTTCCATTTGCTCGTCTCCTTGTTCTCTTCCCAGTTAATCGGGCTTTGCCCCTTTTGGCTTTGCCCCGCTCCTGTGAATAGGGTCTTCCCATTAGAAAATTTATTTATGTATTTAGTAAAGTTTGTATAATAAAGATTTAAACATATAGAAAAATAGAAATTACTAGCCTAATAAAAACACTGAGCCTTTATTTAAAGAAAAACCTAATTTCCTAAATTACTAACTGTTGTAAGCATCCATAAAATAGGATTTCTTTTGGTCCTAAACAACATTTAATAATGTAGCAGTGTTATTAATTGGGTGTTTGTCAGGCCGGTCTGCAGCTGCTGTAATCCCAGGAAACTGGCAAACGTTTCTGTCGTGGCACTTTTAGAGGAACGTGTAAAGTCGAATGTCAAGTCGCCCCCGCGCCTTCCCTCTCCGCACCCCCGCCCCCCGCCCCACCAGTCCTAGTCTTCAGTTGTAGCATTATGAGTTGTTTGGTGTTTAGCTCTCCCCCAGACCCTCCCAACACCAACACACACACCACGCTCCCCTCCCCTCTGCAAATAGAAATATACACGTGTACTTGTCACAGTCATGGAGTCATATTATACATACACTGTGACTTCTTTTTTATCCCTACTTTTCTAATTTAAACGTGTTTCCCTGGCCTTGCATGGAGACTTACCTTACTCTTTTTAGTAGCCGTGTGGATATTTATAATTTATTAACCATTCCCCAGCTGATGACCCCTTAAGCGGTTTGCTCCTTTTCCTCATTATAAGCAGTGCTGCGCTACACAACTTCATAAATACAAGTTTTTTGCATTTGCACGCTTGTGGGCATGTTTCTTTAGGAGAAATACTGAAAAGTGTGCTTTACTCGATATTGCCACATTGTCCTCTTACGATGCTGTACAGTGTCGGACCCTCCCACCAACAGGCATGCCTGTTTCCTTGGACGGCTTCCAGCTGGGTCCTTCATTCTCCGTCATTATTGCCTGATAGAGAAAATACTACATGTCATCGCTCTGAAAAGCATTTCTTTAATTAATAGTTTGGTTTAAGCATCCATTATGTGCTTTGGCCATTTGTATTTCTTTTGTGAACCATATGTTAATGCCTTTTGCCCATTTTTTGTATTGTTTAATATTGCCTTTTAAGACCTTTTTGAATATTTTTTAACTCTGAATTGCATCTATGTTTAAAATGTTTTTTTCCTGAGTTTCTATTCTGTCCTTTTACGTTTGTGGGGTTTTTTAAAATGTATTTATTTTTATTTGTAGGAGACACTTTATTCCAAAGGCTTATTGCAGAGGGGCGGGAATGGGACTATGGCCTGTGTTTGTGCTTTTAATTTATATGTACACATTTAGAACATACTAATTATTTTTCTTAATGGAATCAAATGTAACCGTCTTTCTTTGTGGTTCTTGGCCTTTTTAGAAACTGAACAAATGCTAATTGATAATGTGGGCGATAATTTTTAAATTAGTATTTAAGTCATTCTTCACATTGGATTATTTCTCCAGGTTTTGCTTCCTGCGGAGCTGTGGTTGCGTGTTTTCTGAACGAGCCTTGAAAGAGATAAAAGCGGAAGTTTGTCACACAGTGAGTTGTTGACATATATCATTTGTTCCTTCTTGGTAGCTGAAGAAATCAGCTGGTCCAGGGTCCTTTCCTCCATGTGTTATTTCAAACATCCCACAGTTCTTTCTGTTTAAAATCCTTCCACAGCGTCAGACTGCCTCTTGTGACATGTCCCTGCCTGCCCGTTCAGCTCAGACTAAGCTCAGGCAGCTCCCCAAGTGAGCGCCTCTCGTTCGATACCTTTGTTCTCTGCCCTGCCAGCCTGCAAGGCCCTTCCTGGGCCCCTAGTTCCCGAGCGATTGCTCCGTCTGTGAGCCCTCGCTACCAAACCCCTCCCCGTCCCCCGGCCCCGTGGAGCCCACTGAGCTCATCAGAACGCAGTTGGTAGTTTGCGATGCTTCCCCCGCGGGACCGTGAGGGTTTCTCTTTTCTTTTTTTTTTCTTTTCTTTCCTTTTTTTTCCTTTTTCTTTTCTTTCCCTTTTCTTTTTTCTTTTCTTAATAAGACTTTATTTTTTTAGAGCAGTTTCAGGTTCACAGCAGCATTAAGAGGTAAGTAAGGGATTGCCCATGTTGCCTCTGCCCCCCTCCCCCATATGCACAGCCTTCCCCACCATCAACTCCCACGCCAGAGCGGCACATGCGCCACAGTCGATGAACCTGCCCTGACACGTTATCTTGATGCTGTATGTTCCGCAGACTTGGGCGAATGTGTAACACGTATCTGTCCTCATGGTGTCATACAGCATATTTTCACTGCGTGTGAGAGCGGGGCGCTTGTCCATCTCTCCTTCACCCGAGGGCTCGTCCTCTCCAGAGCGTGTCACGTGTCCTCAGTCAGTGCTCTTACAAGTGAGCAAACGGTTGATGTGAGCGCTTACCTCTCAGCTCGCGTGATGGAGATGCCGACGCCTTTGCTCTCGCGGTGTCGTGGCTGCCGCCGGGACGGGACGCTAGTGCCTTCGGTGCTCCGCCGGCCCGCGGAAAGCCAGGCATTTAGGTGAGGTGTTAGGGATGCCAGCAGCTCCTGGCTTTCCACTCTCATTAGCTCTGCTTGGACTTCGTGAGGCCTCCCTGTACTGTTCCGCTCTGCTGTGAATGATTTTTCATTGAACAACTCTTGTTGAATAACTGTTATGGGCAGCCCCTGCCCCAGACGCCGTACGGTGGGGTATCGGTGGGGGAGAGCGACACAGGCCCTGCCTGCATGGGACCCGCGTTCCGGCTAGAGAGAGAGACTCAAGTAACTAAGCAAGTTGTGACAGATGCGAGGAAGGGAGCCCAGAGGGTGCTGTACCAGAGGCCACCTTAGTGGTGATTGGCAGAGGTGCCTCTGGAGGTTTGAGCCAAGACCTGAGGGTGCGAAGGAGACAGCCAAGTGAAGCTGGAGCAGAATCTCAGCGGTAACAGAGGCCGCTGCTGGCTCAGGGAGCAGAAAGTGTGGCGGAGGATGGGGACAGGACTGGAGTAGTACATGAGGTCAAGGGTCAGGCAGGTGTCACCTCCTGTAGGGCCTGGGAGGGTTTTATTCTGAGAGCAGCGGGAAGCCAGAGGGCAGCTTTAAGCTAGACCGGATGGACTTTAGTTTTAAAACAGACTCTCTATAAAAAGATACCAGACATGGAGGAGGACACACGGTGGTCTCATTGATTTGAGACTCAAAAGCCAGGCAAAAGGTAATTGGCGGCACAGTAGTCAGTTCGGGGCGATTATGAATAAAGCCATCGTAGGATTTGGAACCTGGCTCATTGAGCTTTTACAAAAGAGAAGTTCACAGGGTACGTTCAGGAATTGGTTTATGCTGTTTACTCCTCAGTACGTCTTCCATCTCCTGCACTGAAGGTGAGGTGCAGGTGCTCGAAGGGAGAACGGGCTAGGCACTGCATCACGGAGCCCGCGGTCCTGCAGGGGTCATGGTTACATGGAAAACCATACTCTACTCTGTTTGAGGCCGGGTGCCAAGGACATGATAGAGATGTTACTGGGGTAGCAGCATTAAGAGGTAAGTAAGGGATTGCCCATGTTGCCTCTGCCCCCCTCCCCCATATGCACAGCCTTCCCCACCATCAACTCCCACGCCAGAGCGGCACATGCGCCACAGTCGATTAACCTGCCCTGACACGTTATCTTGATGCTGTATGTTCCGCAGACTTGGGCGAATGTGTAACACGTATCTGTCCTCATGGTGTCATACAGCATATTTTCACTGCGTGTGAGAGCGGGGCGCTTGTCCATCTCTCCTTCACCCGAGGGCTCGTCCTCTCCAGAGCGTGTCACGTGTCCTCAGTCAGTGCTCTTACAAGTGAGCAAACGGTTGATGTGAGCGCTCACCTCTCAGCTCGCGTGACGGAGATGCCGACGCCTTTGCTCTCGCGGTGTCGTGGCTGCCGCCGGGACGGGACGCTAGTGCCTTCGGTGCTCCGCCGGCCCGCGGAAAGCCAGGCATTTAGGTGAGGTGTTAGGGATGCCAGCAGCTCCTGGCTTTCCACTCTCATTAGCTCTGCTTGGACTTCGTGAGGCCTCCCTGTACTGTTCCGCTCTGCTGTGAATGATTTTTCATTGAACAACTCTTGTTGAATAACTGTTATGGGCAGCCCCTGCCCCAGACGCCGTACAGTGGGGTATCGGTGGGGGAGAGCGACACGGGCCCTGCCTGCATGGGACCCGCGTTCCGGCTAGAGAGAGAGACTCAAGTAACTAAGCAAGTTGTGACAGATGCGAGGAAGGAAGCCCAGAGGGTGCTGTACCAGAGGCCACCTTAGTGGTGATTGGCAGAGGTGCCTCTGGAGGTTTGAGCCAAGACCTGAGGGTGCGAAGGAGACAGCCAAGTGAAGCTGGAGCAGAATTTCAGCGGTAACAGAGGCCGCTGCTGGCTCAGGGAGCAGAAAGTGTGGCGGAGGATGGGGACAGGACTGGAGTAGTACATGAGGTCAAGGGTCAGGCAGGTGTCACCTCCTGTAGGGCCTGGGAGGGTTTTATTCTGAGAGCAGCGGGAAGCCAGAGGGCAGCTTTAAGCTAGACCGGATGGACTTTAGTTTTAAAACAGACTCTCTATAAAAAGATACCAGACATGGAGGAGGACACACGGTGGTCTCATTGATTTGAGACTCAAAAGCCAGGCAAAAGGTAATTGGCGGCACAGTAGTCAGTTCGGGGCGATTATGAATAAAGCCATCGTAGGATTTGGAACCTGGCTCATTGAGCTTTTACAAAAGAGAAGTTCACAGGGTACGTTCAGGAATTGGTTTATGCTGTTTACTCCTCAGTACGTCTTCCATCTCCTGCACTGAAGGTGAGGTGCAGGTGCTCGAAGGGAGAACGGGCTAGGCACTGCATCACGGAGCCCGCGGTCCTGCAGGGGTCATGGTTACATGGAAAACCATACTCTACTCTGTTTGAGGCCGGGTGCCAAGGACATGATAGAGATGTTACTGGGGTTCAGAGCCCAGAGAACTGTTCTCGCTGCTGGTGAGAAATGGCTCAGTGAAGGCGGGGCTGTTTGTTCTGGGCCTTCATGGCAGAGCATGGCTCTCATCGGTCCCTCTCCCAGAGACTGGGACGTGGCTGCTGCTGGTAGGAGTGCGGGTGCGGGGGGCCCACTAACAGGACACCAGGTGTCTGCACGTGACACTGTGGGAAGAGAGCAGCTCCCGCCCTGGCGCTGCGCAGACCGTCTGCCTGCCTCCAGGACGATCGGGCAGCCTGACACCTCCCTGTGCCTCCAGGCCTCTCTCTCTGGGTGTCCCTGGCACACCTGACACCTCTCTGTGCCTCCATCCAGGACGATCGGGCGGCCCTAGCACACCCAACACCTCTCTGTGCCTCCAGGCCTCTCTCTCTGGGTGTCCCTGGCGCACCTCGACACTTCTCTAACTCTGGCTGAGCCCCCAAGAGCGTGGACCCTACGCTCAGAGCTTGGGCAGGCAGGGTCTGGTGAGACTTGCTTTGTGTTCTCTGTGTTTTTATGCTTAGTTTGTATTTATGGCAAGGGGTACTGCTTATGGTAGGAGCACAAAGTTAACTTTTAAAGTAAATTTAAGTAGAAACTGGGTAGATTTAAAGAAAAATATTAAGATACTGACAGTACTTTTGGCAGAGGAATGCAAAAAAAAATTGTGAGATGCTGTGGTAAGTGATGGGAGTACATTGTGGGGGGACAGTCAGGGTGTGGAGAGGACACGGGGGACAGCCTGCTCAGAGGGAAGAGGCGGCCCAGGCAGCCTCTGGAGAGGGACACAAGCGGCAGTCACAGTGTGAGCGGGGCAGGACTACAGGCCTGGGCGTGTGGGGCAGGGAGAGAGGCCAGAGGTGTGAGTTAGATTGGGCAGTGGCAGCTTCAAGGGCCAGACCGAGGAGCAGGCCCAGATGGGATTGCAGGAGGGGCCATCGGTGACCCTGGGAGTGTGAATGTTTAGCCCTGTGTGGGTGGACAGACAGCAGGGAAGGAACAAGGGCAGGAGTTTGACAGCAGGTGTGAGACGCATAGTGAAGGAGCGGGAAGTCGGCCGGCGTGGGTTCCTTTGAGCAGGAAGGGACCCTTGCATACTCTGTGTCTGCGGTGTGTGTGTGTTTAGCACATAGTACGCGGGGTGTTGTGTAAGTGTTAGATGCACTCGTGAGTACTCTCAGGAAGTCTGCTTGGAAGAATGTAGATAAGAGAAGGTGGGAGATTAAGCAGAAGTTCATTACCAAAGCCAGACGTCCTAAATCAGTGGTTCCCAAACCAGGCTGCACCTTAGAACCACTCCAGTAGTTTGTTAAGTTCCCATCCACCACCCCAGACCCGCTAAATCGAAACCTCTAGCGTGGGTGTGGACCCTCATGGATTTCCACTTTTATTTAAGAGTTCTCAGAATAATTCTAATGGACTTTCAGGTTTGGGGGGGGGTGCCCACTGATCTAGAGCAAATTTTTTTCCTTGTACCCAGAACAGTAGCCATCTCTTAGATTGGTGCACAGTTTGCCTTTGCATTGGCTGACCTCAGACGTCATATTCGCAACCATGCTGGCAAACATACATAAC